AGGGATTAAATTTTTTGATGTTCTTAAACAAGATCTGTTATGGGTTATGATGTAGCCACAATAGTCATACCAAAAATTACCTTAGAAGCTTTGAAGTTTGAACTAATCTTAAAATCGGTGATCACTCCATACGTATATACAAAAGATTTTCATTATTAGGATCTACTACCTCCCTTTCTCAAAAGAGTTCCTCTTTTGACTTTGGGGGAAAATAAGGAAGTGTTAAATTGTAGTTGACTTTCCAATTTTGTCCTTGATGTGATAGGTAAAAGTAAGATGTGATAGTTTAGTTGTTTGTGAAAAAATATGATGTGATATGTAGGGTATGAAAAAGTATGGGTAAAAGTGGTTTTTAAATAGAAAGGAGAAGTCTTTTAAGAAAAACAAAAAAAAATGAAAGAGGAAAAGTTTTAAGAAATGGAGGGAGTATATATAAATTGCACAAGTTATAGAGAATGAATTAATAATGATATGTAGTGAATTGCACAAAAATGAAAAATAATAGAGGTTACCTGTATGTTCACAGAACAGACATAGGCACGTTGATTAAAATTATCCCGTGTATAGCTATTAGCTCATAGCTAGAGAACAAAGGGATAATTACATTCATAAGTGTCCAGAATATAAATGAGGCCTTGCAGTTGTAATAAAAAACGAAAAAGTTTGGGACGAAAATCACGAAGAAATATTTGTTAAATAACACTAAAACTTAAGTCATTTTCCTAAATAATGCTTAAATTGTTTTATTTTCTAAATATTACTTAATAATGTCCAGAAGGAGAAAATAATAACCAGTGATAACGAACAATTACTTGAATAATGACTAATGGAAAATAACTAAAAGTGGTATATTGGAAAGAAACACATATGATGCTATTTAGAAAAAGTAATTATGTTTTAGTACTATTTAGATAAACCTCCTTTTTTAAGTGCCGGAACTACACAACTTTATATTAATAAAACTTCAAAGTTGAACGTATTATTTCCTTAAAATAATTTCTTATGTAAAATATTTACTTTATTACTTCATCTGTTCTCAAAAATACTTTCTTTTTCATTTTTTCCATCTCCAACAAAACACTTTCTCTTTATGTTAAAAAATTATTTTTTACCCTTACTTTTTCATACCCTACCTATCACATCATTTTTTCTCTAATTATCTATCCATAAGTCCATAACATTTTACTTTTACCTATCACATCAAGAAAAAATTTGGTAGTCAACTACAATTTTACACTTTCTTATTTTTATATTTGGTCAAATTATGAACCTTTTTTTAGAACGGCAGAGTATATATATTCTATTGTGACAAATAGTATTATAAATATTAGCTACTTATAACGAATAAAAAATCACTTTGTCAACATTTACTGCAAAAATCACAACCATATACTTGGAGTGATTTTTAAATTCCTTACATAAAATGCATTGGGCAACCTAACACTAAAATTTGAAATATTTTTTAAATAAAATGTGTTTATTCTTAAGTCGGATAATTTTTGATACATCGAGTTGATCAACTTTGATCATGACTTAAATAAAATTAACATTTGATATTCATATACTATACCGAGTATATTTTAGTGTAACTAAAATAAGTATTATATCTATGATGTTATATTAATCATAAAAAATTTTCGTAGTACAAAGCAAACGTTGATGATTTATAAGGATGAGATATTTTAATAAAAATATTATATCTTCTTTATATTGATCATTTAAATTTAATTACTTTTTAATGTATATATGAATTAAATATTTATTCTAATATATATATGAACTAATTATTAAAATGTTAAATCATTATTCTTATTTCATAAAAAATAATCATGAAAGAAAATATTATTACATTATAATATGAATGATTATTCCAATATATGAATTAACTAATTTTATTAAATTAAAAAATAATCATAAAATAAAAAAAATCGATTATATTATAATATGAATTGTCATTACAATTTTCAATTGTTATTATAAAATCAAATCAAATTATTGATTTGAATTTTAAATCAAATTATTGATTTGAATTTTAAATCAAATCATAATTAATCAGATCATATCAGACCAGATCGGATCCAATCAGATCAGACCAGATTCAATCAGATCAGATCAGAACTACAAAAAAATCAGATCAAATTAGAAAAAATAAGTTAAACCCAACGGAGCCTAACTCTATTTGCATCAATATTCACCAATTTTAATATTCTTATAGTGGTGAGATTAAAATATATAGATATTCAAATTGAAATATTATTCTTATGTTCAAGTGCAGTGAAAATCTATATGTTAACGTTTTCAACAATTAATTTTAATTACAAAATAAACAAATTTAAAAAATTTCATGACCGTGCATCGCACGGGTATGAATCTAGTATAAAAATTATGAAAAGTCAAATGAGAGGAATCAAAATGGAGGGAGTTAGTATTTGTTTTACTCCCTCCGTCCCACAAGATCACCCATGACTATATTTAGCCTTACAAATTGAGAGAATTTGATCAGTCAAAGTGCTTAGATGAACAGTTCCAAAAGTCAAAAGTGGACGAATATAGTGGGACGAAGGTAGTACTATTTATGCAGAATTAAAATTTGGATTATACTATGTGTACCCCAAGGTTTGTACCCCAATTTGTACCCCACAGTTTTGCACCAACACTTTGTGTTGGTGTAAAACTAATTTTTGTTAAACGCACCAACATTTATGTCCGTGTGAATTTTTATTAACGCACCAACACTTGTGTCGGTGTAAACCATCGAAATGTTTGTGCAAACTTGTGGTGTACAAATGGAGTATATTTTTTGGTGTAAGTGTAGCATGGTACTTAAAATTTATCTTTTATCTCCTTTACGATATGTAGGGCGTAGGTTGTCATCTTGTCTTGTATGGCTCACATTCATTATTATGTTAGTTTTTAACGAAACGGTAAAAATCTACGTTTCATAATAAATAATTTACCAAACGGTAGATCAGTTACCGTTCGATTATTGATTGTTTCTGATAGCACTGAATCCACTGATCCGGAATCTTTTTTTTTTTGGAATTAAATCCAAACTCGGCGGTCTCGCTGGGGCGAGCCCCTAGGGATGGCAATTTTATCCGAATCCGACTTTTTCCGACCCGATCGAAGTATATATAATATCCGAATTCGACCGAAAAAATAAATATCCAAAACCGACCCGAAGATTTTAAAACCGAACCCGACTTTTGTCGGGTCGGTTTTCGGTAATTAAATTTGACCGACCCGACCCGTACCCGACCCGACCCGATAATTAACCCGAAATAAAAGGTCTTTTTAAAATATAAAAAAACCTTTTTCAATTAAAAGTCTTTGACTTACGGGAGTTGTCGGTTACGGACTTGAAAAATATTTGTGAAAACTTGTTATATTTATGTGTGTTGTTTCTCTTGTGAAATATTTGTGAAAATTGGTATACTTCCATGTTTTGGTTGTTATTTGGGACACATCTTTTTTAATATCTTAATTTTACGATATCTTTGAACGTTCAAATGTTTTTATGTATTGGAATTCTATTTATATCATTACTTGCATTTATTATTTTATCATTATTTTAATAAAAATCATTACAAAAAACTGATTTATTAGGATATTGGTATGGTCAGTCGGTCGGTCAGTCGGGTCGGTCGGTTTTCAGGTCGGGTTAGGCTTAGGTTTTTGTCAAATTCTCGGGTTCGGTTGCGGTTTAGGGTTTCGGTTTAGGCAGTCGGGTTCGGGTAGAAATTTATACCCGACGGTTCGGGTTCAGGCAAAAATAAAATATCCGATCAAAATTTCGGCTCGGTTTCGGGTAAGGGTATATCCGAATCGAACCCGACCCGTTGCCATCCCCCCCCAAAAAAGGAGCCCAGCTTGATCAACTCTTTATATCTAACTTTCAATCTGGGCCTCCAATCTTAAAGTCTTAAACGACAATGTGTTCTTCCATGAGCCGGGTCGAGGTATCCATTAAATTTTTGAAAATAAGAAATGAATATTTGAATTATTGATATTGATATTAAAACGTATAAAAATAAATAATAATGAATGTGAGTCACAAAAATAATGTAAAATGAAAAAATTAAAAACATTACAATGAATAGAGTATATATCGTTTTAACGACAAGGTACTATTGATACTAGCATCTATTTCCAATGGATGACATTTGCTTATTTGGTGCTCTTCCGATGATCCAAATGAAAAATTGATGTTTTTACCCCTTAAATCCCTCCTTAAACCCCCAACCTTTTCAAGTTCTTCGTGATTTTTTACTCCTCTTAATTAATCCAATGCCGTCACATTCTTTGTGTTAAATTCTAGATATCTCAACATTATTAGTGTTTAGTTCCATTTTGCACTCAAATTCTAACTAATCACGATATCCCCTTGGATTCAAAATCTCGTACTTTTACCACCACCCTAACTTATTACTTTTTCACATTCCATTTACATTTCATTTCCATCATCTTTCTAATCGGAGGTCTTTGGTGTCACACGACGCGCCGGAAATATCCCGCATCAAGTATTCATTTTAACAAATTTTGTTTTTTAAATCATTTTTTTCCTATTCTTTTCCCTTTTTTCTTCAAATTCTCCCTTTTTTTACTCTTGTTTTAATTTAAAGCCATCACAGTCTTTGTGCTAAATTCTAGATATCTGAACATTCAAAAAGGCGAAACGCCCACCCCGGGCGCCTCCATATCCCGACCCGACAGGATTGTAAGAGGGTAAATCATGGTATAATATCATTCTGGTCCTTAAAGAGACCGTCCTGTACTTGATACGCACAAGGAGCTACCACAAACAATAAAACTCCACATTACTGCTCTTAGAATTCGACCCTAAGATTAACGAGATTGTCATCTTCTCTTTAGATTATTTGAGTTGGACTTTTAGAAATGTATGTACGATATATTAAAATGACATTCGAAAACGAGACTCTCGGATCCAATAATTAATCCAATTCAATACCATTATCCATTCTAAACCAATCCAATCATCCCCGTACAACACTTATTAATTAATCATTGGAGCACAAACAAATTAGGCCAACAAAAACCAAATTAAAGAAGAAATCAGTCAACGCTGGACCATTTCTCTTCCAAAACCCAGTGAAGTTTATCATAACTGCGGTACAACCCAACCGTGTCGACCTTCCAATACATGTTCATACGACCTTTGTCCCTCAGAGCATCATATGCTTGCCCTTCCACGTATACGGAATTGGAATCGTCGCTAAGCGTACAATCATAATCATCCATGTGTTTGTTTTTCACGTTGACCTTAATCGAATAGCTCTGTCCCAGGGCGAGTTCCACGTCCTTAATCCTTGAGGATAATCCACATTCAAGAGTCACCTGATTCCCGTAATCGTTGTCAAACTCAATGACCGGGGCGGCTAATCCTGACGACAGCCGTGATGATGATGCGCGGGCATTGGCACCAGAGAGAGCCAATGCCATGAGTGCCAGCATCATCACGACCATCAACGAGTTGAGTTTCTTTGCAAGTCCCATTTTTTTCCCTTATGAATATTATTAAAGTGTTTTGTTGTTGGTTGGAAGATTTTGATGCACTGTCTTATATAGATTGAGATGCATATTATTGAAGGAAATAAAAATTGAATGCTTTGAATTGGGATGCATGGGTGAATCCATTGCATTCAAAAATGTTTTTTTTAAGGAAAAGGCAACAATGGTAGAGTCATTTTGGAATAGAATTTAATGAATGCCTTATCCATGTAACTCACTCCTAACAAAATTAAAAGTATCCTTATTTTGGCAAAATACCTACCCTATTAAATATGGCACTTTTTAAGAGAAAGGGTAGGTGGACAAAAATGCACATTGTATCAAATGTATAATAAAAAATTCAATTATAAATCTTCGTCCATTTAAAATTTTTATTAGTTATATTTAATGAGTAATGTTAGGAGTACACCAAAAGTGTATCTCATTTGTACCCTACCATACTTTTCACCACACATTTTTTATTCACTTCTCTCTCCTTATCCACATCAAAAAGTGTGTAGTTAAGAGTGTGGTGATATACAAATGAGGTACACTTTTGATGTCTCATTAGCATTCTTGATATTCAATTAGGAACATCTAGAGATTGGTTATTAAACGATTGCAATTTTGAAACCTTATAACTGAATCGCGAGAAGAAATCACCTTAAATAGAAGTAAAGCATAAGAAAGGTATCAAAATAGGAGTTCAATGTTTTATCTCCAAAATATGAATTTGCACTTTGATAATGTAACATTGTATATTGATACTCCGTATTTTATAATATTTTTTGGTATTATTGGTATGATTGGCGTCGTTGTATTTTCATTTTAAATTCTATTTTGGGAGTAAAAATATAGAACTACTATTTTAATATATTTTCTATGTTTTCCTCAATTCAATCCAATCCAAATGTATTTAACCTTTCATAATATTAATTAGTGGAATACCAATTAACAAACGAAAAAAAATTAACCAATGGAGGACCACTCGGTTTCGAAAGTCCAGTTAGTGTTATCGTAACTGCGATACAATCCATCGGTACTGATCTTCCAATACACCTTCAAATGATCCTTGTCTCTGGCTCCGTCGAATCCCCGGGCTTGGATGTAATTGGCCGGACCGTCGTCGACCTCGCACAGATACGCGTTCCCGTCTTTGATCTTCCCGTTATCGACTTCAAATGAATAGCTCTGGCCCTGGTCCAGCTCCCCGATCCCGCCGTTCAGGCAGTCCAGCGACACGTGCTTCCCGTAGTCGTTGTAGATCTCGACGGTGGCCGACTGTCCGCTGGCGCTGGTGCCCGAGAGCGCCAGTGCCAGTGCCAGGACGGCCACCATTGCGTGGGGCTTATTTGCTACTCCCATTTGATTTCTTCTTTTTTGCTTAATTAGGAGTAATTAATTATGGACGAGGTGTGGGGTTTGTAGGGAGATTTTGATCCGGTCTTATATAGTTTTGACTTAGAGAGAAATGCAGGTTCGAGGAATGTTTTAAATGTAATGTATGGGGATTCAAAATGTATTTTGAAGAAAAGTGCAATGAATGATAATGTGAAACCTTTAATCGTTTTAACATTTTAGCTTATACCCCGGAGTAATTATAACTATACGAAACATTTGGAATTACGATTTAGAATTTAATTAGGGTACACTAAATGAGAGATCTCATTTTACCAATGTTCTGAAAATCGGATCGGGCATCGACTCAAATGAAGGACTGGGTCAAGGAACTAAAGTCAACTCAAGTCAACTAGAGGTACACCAACTTGGGTACCTCTAGTTTTTTCCACTAGAAAGACATTGCATGCCAACACCTCAAATTAAGTACCGAATAAAACATGCAAGTTCCACCTATTCACATAATAGATCGCTCAACTACATGGGACAAGAAAATACCATTCTGTCCTCTATTTTCTGGTCACATCTCAGAGTGCAAAGACAAGGGTAATTAAGAGGTATATTCATATACAGCACATCCTGGGTATAATAGTATAGGAGAGCTAGGCAGTTCTGGCTAAGCCAGCCAAGCTGGTGATCACGTCTTTGAGTTGAGAGATTTGGTTCACGAATTTTTCGTGAGTTTCGATCGAGTCGAATTGGTTGTTGTGCAGTGTCGAAAGACTGTCGCCCATAACCTTCAACCCACTCTGCAGCAGTTCCATTCCTTGGCTGATTCCCTCTGGCAGTTTCCTTTTCCTGCTGCTTTGGTGGTGTTGTTTCTCATTGTCATCGGTCTCCATCATCGTCGCTTCAATGCCACACGGTCTGGTTTTTGAACGTGCAGTCTCTTTCAGCAGGTGTCCCTCCTTTCTGAGATTTGGGACCAAATTCGCATCCGAAGACGAGGATGTTTCCTTCTCAAGAAACACTTTTAGCTCGGACATAAACCTCTCCTCGTCCGCTTCGTTTCCCAAGTCCGAATCGAATGACAGTGCGGCATCTGGGGGCACGTACCTCCATAGCTCGTTACAATTTGTGCGGGCCGCGAAAAAACCAAAAGCCGAAATGGCCAAGTGAGCAAAGGCCCAATGTCTTTCTTGTAGTAGCATGTGGTATAACTCCCTTACAGCAACATTCATTGTGGTGTCTTCACTGTTTGACAACTCCATGTAGCCAAGACCGGCCATGAATGATGAAAGATTCGGTTTGCATAGATATAATCGACTGTCTGATGGGCTTGAAATGAAAAGGCTCTGAAGCTCCACGACGACTGCTTCCATGTCATCTGACGAGTACAGATTCTTAACCTTGGAGACAATAGTTAGAGTTTCACTCAGAAGCCTTCTATAAACGTCCCTTTCTAGGATGTCCATTGAGCCATTGTATTTGTGAACCACAGCTACTAGGAATTTTAAGCTCTTCAGCTCAGTGTCAGATATACTGACAGAACTAAAAGACGGATGCACAAACCATAAAGAGAATAAGAATGTAAGTCAAGGGGTGAAAAAAGAATCATTGCAACATATTCAGCTCAGAAAAGAGTGCGGATTCATCAATATTTTACATTATTAAAAAAGATCTTGCTTACCGAGATTGTAGCACAGCTGATAAAGCAAAAACCGGAGCACCATAAACACCAGAGCCACACTCTCTCGGTAATTTATCCTGAAATGTGTTGAGAAATTCAAAGTATTCAACAACTATTTGTTGTTTGACTGAACTCTTCAGTTTGTTAGAAAGGAAATCCAGAGAGAATCCCTCCATGAGCAGGGCTAAGTACATAATTGATGAACAATGGGATCTGCTATTGCCCACAACTGAAGAATAGATTTTATCTGCCATTGATTCTGAGCCACAACTAACAAGCCTGCAAATGAATCTTGCAACTTTTCGCAGTGCACTATGAGGACTGAATACAGATTCAGGAAATGCAGAATACTGCAATAATGAGCAAAGTTTGTCAATAATGTCATGCACTATATCCTTCTCGGCATGGCGACACATAAAACACCAAAGTTCAGTAATAATTTCATGGCAGAGAAAGTGGGGATGAAAAATATTCTCAAGCAGGAAAGGCTCTATATGACACCATGCTGAACTTGAAGAACCAGTTATCATGAAGGTTTTCAGTGCATGGAGTGCTGAATGAAATATAGGCTCATAAATCACTTCTTGCTTTTGAGTTGAACTACAGATTGTAGGAATTCGCAGGGCTAGAACCAAAGAATATATATAATCATCTACAAACGTGCCCATCAACCAATCAAGTTTTCTGGCTATCACTGTTCTAACAGCATCGTCAATATCTTGAGCACTATTCAGTAAAGTAAGAAATACATTGACTCGACCAGGCAACAGCGCTCTTCCACTATGCATGTCATCGGAGTTTGAGCAAAAAATAGCATTCATTGAATTCATCTCACTGTCACTGGAAGAAGTAACATAATCTGAATCCCATCCGCATCTAAACCCAAACATCCAATCCAGAAGTTGAAACTTGTGATCTGGTTGCAGTTGAGCAGAATTTAAGAAAGAATTAAGAATATGCAAGGATGTAGGGTCCAGTATTTCCACCATCGCTTCACTTGCAAATTTTAGGAGTTCATCATTACACAATAAGATTTTAAAGGTTGCCACCTTTACAAGAAAAAGCGTAATATCTTTGAAAACTGAAAATGCTTGGGTTGGATATTGGGAGATAATTCTCACAGCATTAATTAGATAAAACTTAACCGGAAGGAATATTCTTTTAGCTTCAACAAATGACACTGTTTCTTTCTGAGGGGATGACCACTCATCAGCTGCAATCCTCAAACAATTATTAGCAAGTGAAATCAAGCTCAAAATGGTGGCTGCAATATCGACCTTTACTGCTAAAGAGCCCTTGCCGAGCTGGAGCAAGGTAACTACACCTTTCCATGACAGATTTAATAAGCTCACAGAGCTTCCTCCATTATTACCTGCAGTGATGCCAACCTCACACAGTTTCTCAACTGAAATTTTGATTACATTGACAACATGATCAGTGCTATCCACCTCTAGAGCACCTACAATATTTGTACCACTGTCTGTTCTTAGACGATAGGAATCCCAATTTACATTGTCAGAGTACACCCTGCATAGTCGCATCAACGAATCAAGGACTTCTTGCACCATCTTTTGCATTTCGGACCCAAACACAGAAAGCGTCTGCTAGAGAAATCCATATAAAAAAGAAGTTTATCTTCCAATCATACTGCTTACATAAATCGACCATATATACATCCATATATACATACACACACAGATATATATATATATATATATATATATATATCTATATGTGTATGTGTATGTGTATGTGTATGTGTATGTGTATGTGTATGTGTATGTGTATGTGTATGTGTATGTGTATGTGTATGTGTATGTGTATGTGTATGTGTGTGTATATATATGTATCAATGTATGTATGCGCGTGTAGTGAAGAAAATAGGAAAAGAAAAAGGAGATACAATCATTACCCCAGTGCCTCAAAAGCGCTCCTGCCCATTGCAGGTAAGGGGGGTCAAATATACTAGCCTAACCCCTATGTTTAAAACATAGAGTGGCTCATGACCCATGATGAGTGTCGAAAGTTGCATTAACTATCTGTTACTTCATTATAAAAGAAGCTAAGACATTTTAAAGAGTCATTTTGTTTTATTCCATCATACCCCACAGCCAAAAAAATGAATATTTGGCTCCTTCAGAGATGATGAAAAAAAGAAAAAGGAAATAAAAAATAAATAAAAAATTTAAAAATTTAAATATATAATGAAGAAATTGTAGTAAGAATAGGCCCACTGTGCAGACTACTCACTACATAAGTCATACCGAAATGATATTATGGATGAGGGTAAAGGTATTATAACAAAAAATTAAATAAATACCCGATACAGATGAACACACTCAGGACAACTATAATTTGTCATGCACATGCGATACCTTCATCTCCGAAATGGAATCCTTTATCAGGTTCATTTGCTCCAAAATGAAACTCTCAACAACAGTTATCAAATCTTTGTTATCCGCAATAGGATATCTGGTTAAAGCTGAAAAGCTAGAGGAAGCATAGCCCAGCAAATCCAAAAGCAACTAAGACAAATATGATGCATGTCAAAAGAGAGGAAAAAGTTTTTGATAGTCTTAAAGTTTTAGAAAAACATATTAACTGCAGTCACTTTCAAACCTGACAAAAGAGGTTGTCATGTTCATCTTGTGAATCTTGGCTGGTAGACATAACTGTCATCTTAAGATGCTTTCTACACCATATGGCAGCCTGATTATAGGAAAAAACTAAATTAATACAAACAAAATCCCTAAGAAAAACAACTGAATTGAGAACCATGGAAGATGATGGATCACCTTTGCTCCTAAACCCATTATTTGCCCCAGATTTCCAGATATATCCAAATCAAGATATTTTGCCCCAACTTGCAAAATGGTCTTATTTAGTGTGCACTGAGATATGTCTAGGCAAGTAAAATCATCCCAGAGAGTCCAGTGAATGTTAAGGTACCCACAGGTACAAAAATGAGCATCGATATACACAAATAGTGCAGCAGAGAGAAAACAATCAATAAGTATCAAAACGAAGTAATGTCCAAAGTTATCCGTGTCATTGTTATTACCTCTCCAGCAGTCTCTCTTTAAAGTATTAAGTTCAAATTACACGGTTTTTAATGTAGAAAATGTTTTGCTTTTGAATTCCATTTTTGACTTAGCGATATGCGAGTGGGAAGAATTTATGGTGGTGTGTAGAGACATTAAAAGAAGGTAGATGGTGAAGTAAGATTAACACTTTTACCAAACAAGGATAAAGTACTTCATTTAGGGACAGCCAAATAGGAAAACATTAAGTTATTTATGCAGAGATAGAAAATTATATATAAAAAGGAAATGTTTTAGTAAAAAGAACTGCATAGTGCAAGGACCAAGGTAAAAAAATACCACGATTTCTGAAAGCAAAAGGCATTAGTGTTATTGGGTCATAAATCTTGAGGAGAAATAAATGCAGCTTCTAGATTGTTTCGACATCATTGTTATATTATTTAACAGTCATAACAATTTAAGTAATTGAACATCTCAAACTCATTGGAAATAGCAAGTG